CTAATACCTTATGATTTTATAACATTTCTTTCTTCTTCTTCTTTTCTTTCTTCCCTTATTTCTCATGTTTTCTTTTCATTTCCTTTCTCTTTACTTTCTCTATAATCCACCCTCTCATAACCCATATATTACAAATTCCAATTGAATTATTGTTGCATTTTTGCAACTATTATTACTAGCATGCAAGGGCATACCGCCACACAGGGAGCTCACCAACGAGCTGGATTGACTGAATCGGAGATGCATGAAAAATCATGTGACTCCCACTCCAACGTCGAGGACGTAGTGCCTTCATGGCGTCAAATAAAGGTCGCCCAAAGTACATTGTGTCTCCCAAGGTCATTGTAGCAATCGTCCTATTGAAGCAAATAATTTCACAACCATATTATCTTAAAAAAATTCAATCACATTATCTTAAAAATTTTGTCAAACTAACTAACTAATTTAAACAACAACAAAAATTAAAAATTACCTGATGATTTCTTTCTTCTTCTTCCTTTTTTTTCTTCCATTATTTCTTATGTTTTCTTCTCCTCTTCTTTCTCTTTACTTTCTCAGTTATCTACCCTCACATATTCCATATATATTACAAACTCCAGCTGAATTATCGCTACATATTATTGTTGCATTATAACAGTTATTATTGCTGCTATACAGGGGGTAGACTACTATGCAGGGAGTGTCACTAGGGAGCTGGATGGACTGAATTGGAGACGCATGGAAAACTATGTAACTCCCACTCCAACGTCGAGGACATACTACCTTCATGGCGTCAAAGCAAGGTCGCCCGGAGTATCATGCGTCTCCCATGATCACTTTATCAATTGGCCTATTGAAGCAAATAATTTCACAACCACATTATCTTTAAAAAAATCAATCACATTATCCTAAAATTTTTGCCAAACTAACTAACTAATTTAAACAACAAAAAAATAAAATTTACCTGAGGACTTCTTTCTTCTCTTATTTCTTTTGTTTTCTTCTCTTATTTCTTGTGTTTTCTTCTCCTCTCATTTGTCTTTACTTCCCGATTGTCCACCTTCCCATAAGCCTTATATATTACAAACTCCAACTGAATTATTTCTCCATATTATTGTTGCATCATTGCAACTATTATTGCTACCACACATGGGCTAGACCGCCATGCAGAGAGCTTCACCGAGGAGCTGGATGGACTGAATTAGAGATACATGGAAAATCATGTGACTCCCACTCTAACGTCGACGACACACTGCCTTCATGGAGTCAAAGTAAGGTTACCCGGAATATCATGTGTCTCCCGTGGTCATTGTAACAATTTCCCTGTTAAAGCAAATAATATCATGACGTTATCTTAAAAAACTTCAATCACATTATCCTACAAATTTTACCAACTAACTAATTTAAACAGTAACAATAACTTAAAAATTACATGATGATTTCTTTCTTCCCTTATTTCTTATGTTTTATTATCCTCTCCTTTATCTTTACTTTCCCAGTTATCCATCGTCCCATAACCCATATATAATACAAACTCTAGTTGAATTATTGCTCCACATTATTGCAGCTATTTTGTTGTTATGCAGGGAGCAAGCTTCGCGAGTCATGTAGGGAGCTTCACCGGAGAGATGGATGGACCGAATTAGAGATGCATGCAAAACAATACGACTCCCACTTGAATGTCAAGGGCGCATTGCCTTCATGGCGTAAAAGCAAGGTCGCTTGGAGTATCATGCGTCTTACATAGTCACTCTACCAATCGCGGTATTGAAACAAATAATTACATAACTACATTATCTTGAAAAAATCAATCAAATTATCCTAAAAAAATTACCAAAATAACTAACTAATTTAATCAACAACAAAAAATTAAAAATTACATGAGGATTTATTTCGTCTTCTTCCTTTCTTTATTCCCTTATTTCTTATGTTTTCTTCCTATCTTCTTTCTCTTTACTTTCCTGGTTGTCCATCCTCCCATAACCCATATATATTATAAACTCCAACTGAATTATTGCTCCATATTATTGTTGCATTGTTGCAACTATTATTACTGCCATGAATAGGGCAGACTACCATCAAGGAGCAAGCTTCACGGGTCATGTAGGGAGCTTCACCGTGTAGCTGGATGGACTGAATTGGAGACGCATGGACCTTCAGGTGTCAAAGCTAGGTCGCCTAGAGTACCATGCATCTCGCGTGGTCAGTATAGCAATCGCCCTATTGAAGCAAATAATTTTACAACTATGTTATCTTAAAAAATTCAATCACATTACCCTAGATATTTTGCCAAACTAACTAACTAATTTAAACAACAACAAAAAATTTAAAAAGTACACGAGGATTTCTATCATCTTATTGTTGTGTTTTTTCCCTTATTTCTTATGTTTTTTTATCCTCTTTTTTCTCTTTACTTTCCCGGTTATTCACCCTCCCATAACCCATATATATTACAAACTCCAACTGAATTATTGTTGCATCATTGCAACTATTATTGTTGCCACGCAGGGGATAGACTTCACCGGGGAGCTAGATGGACTGAATTGGAGATGCATGGAAAATCATTTAACTCACACTCCAATGTCGAGGACACGCTGCTTTCATGGAGTCAAAGTAAGGTTGCCCGAAGTATCATGCGTCTCTCGAGGTCACTATAGTAATTGCCCTATTGAAGTAAATAATTTCACAACGACGTTATATTAAAAAAAATCAATCACATTATCCTAAAAATTTTACCTAACTAACTAACTAATTTAAACAACAAAAACTTAAAAATTATCTGATGATTTGTTTCTTCTTCTTCTTCTTCCTTTCTTTCTTCCCTTATTTCTTATATTTTATTCTCCTCTCCTTTCTCTTTACTTTACCGGTTATGCACCCTCTCATATCCCATATATATTACAAACTCTAGCTGAATTATCACTCCATATTATTGTTGCATTATTGTAGCCATTATTGTTGCCATGCAGGGAGCAGGCTTTGTGAGTCATGTAGGGAGCTTCACGGGGGAGTTGGATGTACTGAATTTGAGATGCATGGAAAACCATGTGACTCTCACTCAAAAGTCAAGGATGCACTGCCTTCATGGTGTCAAAGCAAGATCGCCTAGAGTACCATGTGTCTCTCGTAGTCACAGTAGCAATCTCCATATTGAAATAAATAATTTCACAATCACATTATCTTAAAAAAATTCAATCACATTATCCTAAAAATTTTACCAAACTAACTAACTAATTTAACAACAACAACAAATTAAAAATTACATGAAAATTTTTCTTCTTCATTTTTTCTTCCCTTATTTCTTACGTTTTCTTCTCCTCTCATTTCTCTTTACTTTCTCAGTTATCCATCCTCCCATATCCCATATGTATTACAAACTCTAGTTGAATTATTGCTCCATATTATTGTTGCATTATTGCAGCTATTATTGCTGCCATGCATGGGGCAGACTGTCATCAAGGAGCAGGCTTCACGGGTCATGTAGGCAGACTGAATTAGATAGGCATGGAAAACCATGGAACTCCCACTCCAATGTCGGGGATGCACTACCTTCATGTTATCAAAGCTAGATCGCCCGAAATACCATGCGTCTCACTTGGTCAATGTGTCATTGTAGCTATCGCCCTATTGAAACGAATAATTTTACAACCACGTTATCTTAAAAAAAATCACACATTATCCTAGAAATTTTGTCAAACTAACTAACTAATTTAAACAACAACAAAAAATTAAAAATTACCTGAGGATTTCTTTCTTCTTATTCTTTTTTTTTTCTTCCCTTATTTCTTATGTTTTCTTATCCTCTCCTTTCTCTTTACTTTCCCGGTTATCCACCCTCCCATAACTCATATATATTACAAACTCCAGCTAAATTAATGCTCTATATTATTGTTACATTATTGCAGCTATTATTGTTGCCATGCAGGGAGCAGGCTTCACGGGTTATGCAGGGAGCTTCACCGGGGAGCTGGATAGACTGAATTGGAGACACCTAGAAAGCCATGCGACTCCCACTCCAACGTCGAGGACACACTACCTTCACGGCGTCAAAGCAAGGTCGGTTAGAGTATCATACGTCTCTCGTGGTTATTATAACAATCGCCATATTGAAGCAAATAATTTCACAACCACATTATCTTAAAAAAAATCAATCAAATTATCCTAAAAATTTTGTCAAACTAATTAACTTAAACAACAACAAAAAGATAAAAATTACCTTTAAATTTCTTTCTTCTTCTTCATTTATTTCTTCCCTTATTTTTTATGTTTTCTTCTTCTCTTCTTTCTCTTTACTTTCCCAATTATCCACTCTCTCATAATTCATATATAATACAAACTCCATCTGAATTATTACTCCATATTATTGTTGCATTATTGCAGCTTTTATCCCTTCCATGCAATGGGCAGATTGCCATGCATGGAGTAGGCTTCACGAGTCATGCAGGGAGCTTCATCAGGGAGCTAGATGGACTGAATTGGAGACGCATGGAAAACCATGTGAGTCTCACTCTAACGTTGTGGACACACTGCTTTCATGGCGTTAAAAGCAAGGTCGTCCAGAGTACCATGCGTCTCTCGTGGTCACTGTAGGAATATCCCTATTAAAACAAATAATTTCACAATCACATTATCTTAATTTTTTTTTTCAATTACATTATCCTAAAAATTTTGTCGATTTTAAGTATTTATGGGTTTTTTTTATATTTTTTAAAAGTCTTTGTTATTTAAAAATATATATATATATTTTAAAAAAAAATTAATTTAATTTTTTAAAAATATAAAAACGACAAATTTAACAGTTTTTTAAAGGTTTTTACAGTGTAGACATCTAAATGTATGACTTATAACTAAATAAACATTAGAGACTTAATTTTAATGAAACACTATTTAAACCCCTAAAATTAATTTAAAGTATAATTTAAACAATTATTTATTTTTACGTTAACCCAATGAAATATTAAAATTCTTGAAAAAGATCCACATATTTCATTTTCATATCAGATCTTTGCAACTCTTCCAAACCTCCTAAGATCTCCCAAAAAAGAAAAAAGAAAAATGCGAGCGAAGCAAATGCCATCGTCCTCCACCAGATCCAAATCCCAACTCCTCCTCCTCTTCTCCGTCCTCTCTCTCCTTGCCATCTCTTTCCCCTTCTTCTTCTTCTCTTCTCCCTCTCATCCCACCGCCTCCTCCTCCACCTATACCCACCCGCACCCCCGCGTCCCACCCGAAACCTCCTTCGTCGCTTCCCTCGAGAACTTCCTCACCCACAAGGCTCCCACCTACCGCACTTCCGACGATACGGTGCGTTCAGCTCTCCATGATGACGTAACGAGCTTCGACGATCGACAGTTCGCCAAGGAAATGGATTGGGTGCACCGAGATCCGTACTACCCGCTGAATTTCCCGATTAGGGTTTACGTTTACGATATGCCGAAGAAGTTCACCTTCGATTTGCTTTGGTTGTTTCGGAATACTTACCGAGGAACATCTAATCTAACCTCCAACGGTAGCCCTGTTCACCGTTTGATCGAGCAGGTAAAATTATCAAGTATTCTTAATTGGAATTTATTTCTCTTTGGAACCTGTTGAAGATTATCGATTGGATTTCCTTGGAAAATAAAAGGGACTGGAATTGTCCTTCATTTACGAGAAAATGGTTTGTTTGTTATGATACTTTAAATTTTGTTGTTCTTCTGGTGGTGCAGCATTCTATTGATTATTGGCTGTGGGCGGATTTGATTGCACCTGAATCTGAAAGGCTTTTGAAAAATGTTGTGAGAGTTGATAGGCAGGAGGAGGCAGATTTGTTTTACGTGCCGTTTTTCACCACAATTAGTTTTTTCTTGTTGGAGAAGCAACAATGCAAGGCCTTATATAGGGTGTGAGTGCTTTTCCAGGTTTTATGATATTTTACATCTAAATGTTCTTATTACTGCGGCTTTTATTGTTTGAAAGAGGCGCTTGGTTCAATTCCTATTCCACTGATTTTTTTTCAGTCTTTGGTATGTTCATGTGTTGTCGTGTTGTGATTATTGGGTTGGGTATTCAGGTTTATCAATGTTGACAATTTAGGTCAATCAGTATGAGTGCTTGGTTTCAGAGGGGGGTAGGAGAAGAAAAGAAAATCACAATTGGATCAAGTCCCATGTATTTTCTAAATTGATTGTGTTTTAGTATCCTTGTGTGCAAATTATTCTTAACTATCGTCAACCACTAAGCTCAACTCTCAATATTAAATTTACATTAACTTGTTTCTGTAGGTTCTTTATCATAGTAACTTATTTTAAGACATTGATTACGTCATCCTTTGCTAATTCCTTTTTTTTTTGAAAAGTTGTTGAGAGATATTGGACAAAATAGTGTGTAATTTCCCTTCAAGGACTTTGGCTGTATTGTTGCATGTGGACATTTTGTGCTATTAGCTTTTAGAATTTACTTATCCTAGGCCCTTGCTTTGTATGGTTTTCAGGAAGCCCTGAAATGGGTGACATATCAGCCTGCATGGAAACGATCTGAAGGAAGGGACCACATATTTCCCATTCATCATCCATGGTCCTTTAAGTCGGTTCGCAGATATGTGAAAAATGCAATTTGGCTTTTACCAGATATGGACTCCACAGGGAATTGGTAACCATAGGACCATTGCAAATGAGATTTATTATGTTGCTAGTTTTCAGTCATTTCAATCTCTGAAAAAGTGGTATCTTCTAACATCCTAGGTACAAGCCAGGGCAAGTTTCACTGGAGAAAGACCTTATTCTCCCATATGTTGCAAATGTTGATTTATGTGATGCAAATTGTGTGTCCGAAAGTGAATCCAAGAGAACCACACTGGTCTTCTTCCGTGGACGACTAAAGAGAAATGCTGTAAGAGTTCTGACTGTCTTATTAATCTGTTTGAATTTTTTTCTTGAATTATACTTGATAGAACATGGAAAGAAGTAGGATAATATTTGGGCTTATTATGTGGATACATATGCAAGAGATCTAGCCCAAGGACATGCCATTTCTTTCTTTTTTCCTTTTTCAGACACAAGAATTGTATGACAGGAAAGAAATAATAGAGGGAGGGAGCGGAGAAAGGGGACATTATAATCACCATAATCCTTTGTGTCCATTGTTTTCCCATTAGGATCGATGGGTATTTGGTCTTTAATATAAAGACTTGCCAACTCTTAGTTCTAAACAGAAGAAAGTGAAACAAGTAAGAAAGATGCCTTCTTGGGCTTTCTCTGTATGCATGTATATGGATGCTTGCTTGAGAGTGAGAAAGGTTGAAATTGAAATCAAATAAAAAAATTAATGATACTGAGAACACAGTTATTCTGAAGTATTTTTTTCATTAATTTTCTCTTTGAGATTATATCGATTCTTGTAAATGCTGTTTTTCATTTTTCATTGATTTGATGGTGTTATTTACCTGTCCTTCATGTCTTTTTTAAGGGTTGGCTGGTGAATAGCTTTACCTGTTTTGTCTTCTACATTCTCTCTCCTTTGTCTCACATGCTAATGTATCTCATTCAATCTTTTGGATGCTTAATTTGTAGTTTTGCTTTTTCAGGGAGGAAAGATACGTTCTAAACTTGTAACAGAATTAGCAGATGCAAAGGATGTAGTGATAGAAGAAGGAACAGTTGGGGAGCAAGGGAAAGCTGCTGCTCAAAAGGGGATGCGCACGTAAGATCGAATGGTTCTCTTTTACAGTCTTGTGTCCCACTTCATCATAATGGTTGTGTTATTCCTGTCACCAGGTCTACATTTTGTTTAAGTCCAGCTGGCGATACTCCTTCCTCTGCTAGATTGTTTGATGCTATTGTTAGTGGGTGTATCCCTGTTATTATTAGCGATGAATTGGAGCTTCCTTTTGAAGGAATACTAGATTATAGAAAGGTATGCAGTTTTTAAAGCTTTAATTGTTGCTGGCTTTCCTTTGATGCATTGTGGCTAACCTATCAGTGCTTTTTACTTTTTGTTTTATGGTTGCCCAAAAGTTGCTTATTATATGGTACTGAGAGTATTATTGATATTCTGCTCAGTCTCGTAATTTAGAGTTCTGTCGGTTTGAAATCAGCCTCCTGTTTTATTTGTTGCATGATGAAATTAAATAATTTATTATTTCTTTCTTGCCATTTTCGGAAAGTTGCATTTTTTTGCTGAAGATGTGATTGTACATGTTACTGCATAAGGCTTATGAGACTGCCTTCATCGTTTCATGTTGCATGAAGTGTATGGTTATGAATTCTTTATTATTGGTGGCAATTTGTATAGATCATCATAGTGTTAAGAGAACCAGATTTATGGCCAATTTGGTGTTTTTTCATCTTGTTTATGCATCAAGAATACAGGCAACAAATCCTACGTGTGTAACTTGAAATGGGTAATTTAGTTTTGTTGGTGCTTGGTATGGTTTGAATGGGCACTTTGATGTCCTTGGGTAAAGGGTAATTTGGTTTTGTTGGTGCTCCATGTACTTTTTACAGAGTTTCTGCAGAATAGATATATTGGATTCTGTTGCCTGTGGGAGAGGCCATCTTTCTCCCTCTGTATAGTGCTGTTTTCTTGTATGTAATGTTTGGGACAATTATATGATCTCATTTCATTCCATATTCTGGGAGTCTTTTTACCGTATGAAATTTAATTGTATATATACTTTTTATTATCCCCTTTCCCCTTTAAGAATTTGTTTGACTTTAGTGAAACAGTTAAATAAGCAATGGATTAAATTTTGCAATGAATCTCATTAAGCTGCTACCATGTAGTTCATTGGGGTTATATAATTTCTGCATATTAGACAGATTAAATCACAGGTTCTATTGTTATTGTTTCCTTTCATGCAGATAGCTATATTTGTTTCTTCAACTGACTCTGTGCAACCTGGTTGGCTGCTAACATATTTAAAAGGCATTAGCTCTACTCAGATCAGAGAAATGAGGAAGAATCTTGTGGAGGTTTGTGATTGCAGATTCTGCATTTTGATCCTGCTCTAGATTTGTCTTATCTTTATGTTGCACAATGGTTAGATATAATGACAAATTTTTTACTCATGTTGGCCGTGCTTGTACATGGGGAGAAAATTTTAATATTTGGTCTAGCATTCATATTTTCACTTTCAAGCCAAAACCTGGCATCTTTGGATATCGATCACTTTATGCCTCTTACAATCATTTTTTTGCACATTGGAGAATTTTAGCATTAGGATTAGTACGCACATTTCACTTTTTCAAAAACCAGAACTTGGCATCTTTTGTATGTTCATCTCTCAATGCTTGTATGGTATTATTTCTTCTACCCAAATGTTAAGTTTATTAATAATTGGATGGTACTTTATCAATTTCTTGTTTATCTTTCATCTTTTCAAGTTTGTATGATAAAACCAGTACTACTATATTTTATAATGTGAAGTTGACTGATTTTTTTTTTCTCAATTTCCAGTTCTCAAGGCATTTTGTGTACTCTAGTCCAGCTCAACCCTTGGGTCCAGAAGATTTGGTTTGGAGACTGGTTTGTAACACTGTTCACCACTATATTTAGCTTAAATTCATCTGGTTATTTTATTTGAGAAATTATGCTGAATTTATATTGCTTTGAGCTTAAACTTGTTCCCGACTTCGAGCTTAAGAACTTTAAAGTAAAATGAAATGAAATGCTCCTGGATAGCATCTGCAGTAATGATGCAATCTCGTTGCCCAATAGCCTTAACCCATGTTAATAAAGAGCGTTGATTTGACTCGTCATTTTTTTTAAAAGTACTTGTGTCTTACATTTGTGCGCAAAACTGTTATGAGCCTTAGCATAGGATCTAGTCACGAGTCTAGACGTGGAAGAATTTCTGCTCTGACCTATGGTTAATCAGAGAGGCAGATTCGTCCTTGACAGAACCCCTCTACGAATAACGTTTTTTTCTTAATAGAGTAATTGCTTGTCTTCTTTATTCAATAATGGCAGCCTTTAATAGTCCTTTAGTGACAAAGGAAATAATCCTAATAGAAATAAAATAATGATCCCTAACATATAGGATCTTGACTAGCAAGACTTAGTTATTTTGAAAAAAATATAATGTAATAGAGGAAACAAATAAAACTCTAATTAACTGCCCTCTATATATTTATTGCCTTCCTTCTCTGATATTGCTTTCAACTAAGGCGTCCACATCAAAAACATACTAGGGCATGGGCATGAGTGCCACACATATTCAGATATATCATAGGTATAGGGTATGATCCTTCAAAGATGTGGAAGAACTTATAAGAAAAATGAAAACTTTATCATCGGACATTAATATCTTGTACTCATTCCTAGTCTGAGTTAACATAGGCAATGACTGTTAATGGCCTGAGCATTTGATTGTTATCTTCAATCTTAACATTGCTTCCTTTAAAGAATAGACGATGGTGTTGTTATTCTGAGCAAGTCATACGAAATCACTAAATATTTGTTGTTTGTAACAGATGGGTGGTAAGTTGGTGAACATCAAGCTTCATACTAGGAGATCACAGCGTGTTGTTAAAGAATCAAGAAGTGTCTGCAGCTGTGATTGCAGGCGTGGCAATATTACCGGTTCTCATAGGTCTCTCCCCGTTTGAAGGTGCTGTGCATGAATCATTCTTTAAGCAAATAAATAGACAGCTTCTTGTTTCCTGGTTGCTATTAGATTCTTGTAGAGTCCATCCCCTTCCAAAAACATTTTGTTTGATGTTTTTGATTTGGCTGCTCGTGCAAGCATGCTTGTTGTTATGTCTTGCTTCTTTTGATTTGATATTCCCACTGTTGAATTATATGTCTACAGTTGGAAGTTTGTTTGGTATATGGATGGATTGGACAAAATTGAGCTAAAAAAGTCTTGGTTAAATATTTTTTTTATGATTTTAATTACATATAATTTTTATTTTTAATTGAGGTGTCTATCCTTTTATTAAAATGTTTATTGAGTTGGTATCATGGTTAATTAAATATTAATTTAGCATATGAGTCTACAGTGAACGTCGCATAGGGGTGAGCATTCGATTGAGTTGAGTTTAGTCAAAAAAAATTTTTGAGTTATCCAAGTTGGCGAGTCATATTTTATAACTTGAACTTAAAATTTTTAGTTGAGTATGAGAAATTCAAGTCTAGTTATTTGAGTTTCTATAAAAATTTAGTTGTAATTATTTGTAGTATTATAGTACGAATTTATTTCAATTTTTTGACTCTAACCATATAAGATATATATATTGTTCTTTTTACATTACAATATTATTTAATAAATCACATATAATCTAAAATTATAAAATTATATTTACAATATTATATTTCAAAGAGGGTATTTTGAGGATAAAAGATTAATGGGAGTATAAAAGAGTCAAAGAGTTGATGTGAAGAAAGAATTTGTAAATAATTGTAGTCAAAAGATTAAATTGAGTAAAATGCAAAGTTAAATGACTAAATTAAAAAAGAGTATATTTTTAGTAAAAAAATAAAGAATTGAAGTTACATAGGTATTCTATAGTGGTAGGGGAGTATGCAGTTTAAATTTGATGAAAAATGTACTTAAAATGAAAGATGAAATGAATAAATACGGAAATCATGTAAAATTGAGAGGTTAAACTGAAAAAATAGAAACTTTGTTATCAAAAGTGAAATTGAAAGAACATATATATATTCTATGATGGTTTAGGAGCATGTGGTTCAAATTTGGTGAAATTTTGACTAAAAAAGAGGAATTGAAGGAATAGAAAATCAGGGACCAAATCACAAATCTGCCAAAATACTCATTCAAATTTTTTGTTTTCGAGTTACTCGAAATTTTGAAATTTCAAATTGATTTGAACTCGAAAATCGAATTAATAATTCGAGTTGACTCGAATAACTCGAAATTGAAAAAAAAAATTAATTTTTCGAGTATAGTCGAGTTTTACTCACCCCTAACATCGCATACTGAAACACATCACTAAATAAGTTATCTTATTAAGTAAATATTGAAAATCTCAAAGACTATTCCATGATTAATCTATTTTAAGAATTTAATTTTAATTTTAATTAGAATTTAATTAAATTATTAATTTTTTATTAAAAATCAGCAATGCAAATTGTGATGTTTTTACTTTGACCACTTAACTATTACTTCCTTTCACTATCACAATTGATATTTCAATTTTGTCAATCAAGTCACCTAATTATTTAATTGTATCTAATCAAGCTACTTGTCGTTAACATTTAACGAAAGTGTTAATGTGACAGTTAATAAAATTGTATAATTATAAATTTCATACTCAATACTTATATATTCAATCGATTTAGTCTTAATTTAAATTTAATTCAATAAATTAACTTTTCAATCAAAATGTGACATGTGTTAACATATGATCATGACATGTATCACCTATGATTGGATAGAAAATAAGTTAAAGACGTATTACGTTTGTGGAGGGTCGAACATGTATGATAATTAACACCCTAGTAACTAAACCAAATGCCTTATTTAATTGGTTAAGTACGCCAACACCCATTTATTTCATAATATTGTTAATGATAAAATAAAAAATTAAAACATTCAAATGATATTTAACTTTTAAATACTTTTACATTTTAAAACAAAACAAAATATGTTTATAGTTTTATATTTTAAATCTAAATTTAGTATTTTTATATTTTTAAATAAAATTTATGGAAGAATTAACGGAAAACTAACTAAAAAATTATAATATTAAACTACAACAATTAAACATTAAAATAATTAAAATGAACATAATAAATACACCCAAAAAATTCTAATTAGAAAGCGCTTAAGATAACTAATACAAATGGTAAAACAATTAATTTTTTAAAAAATATATATAAAAAATATTTTTATTTTTATATTATTCGACTTATTTCACAAATTTTGTTTAGAAATATAAAAATAATAAATTTAATTTTAAAATATAAAAATATTAAACTTGTTTTGTTTTGTTTAAAAATGTAAAAATATTTAAAGTTAAATGTCATTCGAATGTTTTTATTTTTTTCTATCATTAATAATGTTATGAAACATATAGTTGTTGGTGTAAAGAATTAATCAAATGAGACATTTGGTTTAGTGGCCAGGACATTATTCATCAATTTAGGAAACCCAGGTTAAAACTCCTACAAATGCATTTCACCTATAGTTATTTTCTATCTAACTGGATGTGATACGTGTCACCGTTTGATTAGAAAAAATATTTAATTAATTAAATTAAAATTAATAAAAATCCTTCAAATCAGATGGTGATATTTATCGGTAATGACATGTGTCATGATTATGTGTTGACACGTGTCACATCTTGATTAAAGGATTAATTTATTGAATTAAATTTAAATTATGATCAAATTGATAGAATGTATAATATTGAGGATTAAATGTGATATTATACCAATTTTATTAATTTCCATGTCAGTACTTACGTTAAATGTAACAGTAAGTGACTTCATTGACCCCATTATATAATTAAGTGGTTTAATTGACAAAATTAAAAAATTGATGGTCAAATTGAAAAGGGACAATAGTTAAGTTGTTATACGTATAGTTTACTTAAAATTAATTTCTTAAAATGAATTAATCATGAAGTGGTCCTTGAATTTTTTTAATATTTACTTAATAGTGACAACTTATTTGGTAGTGTGTTTTAGTGTGTCATATCTAGTCAGCAGGTTAACGTCTAGTTCATACTGCCATCAATTTGTTAACGGAAAAATACGAGTTTGGAACATAATGAATACTCTGATTATTTTGTAACTTTTAATAGCCGGGACTCAACTAAGCAACGCCTTGTCTGAGGACATTTTATAACTTTTAATAGTCGATGATTCAATAAAACAGTATCTTATAGTCGGGGATCATTTGTGTACTATACCCAAAAAAAATTAGTGCTTAATTTGATCACTAAAAAAACCTCTTGATTGAGGGTTATCAATTTACTTGCCGTTAGAAAAAATATTTTATTTCAATCTTGATCGTTAAACCCTATATTGGGGTATGATTCAATGTGTAATAATCATCTACTCAAAAAATGAGTCAAAAGTAATCTGAATTTAAGTGCTTCAAAATAAATGTTCAATGCGTAACAACTAATTATAGTAGCATAAAAATTAATTAAAATATCAATTAATATGTTAATATATTTAAACCAATGGCATATTTTAATTAAAGATAAGGCTCATAAGGGTAAATAAATTTACTCATTGAATTTTTCTCTTTATTCTATTTTACTTACTGTATTTTTTAATTAATTCATTCGAATTTATACATTTATTTTTTATGATTATTTCACCGTTAAATTCTTAATGATGTGAATTAAATAAATATTCTTTAATTATTAAAAGATAGGTAAAAATAAATTGATTAAAAATAAAGTAAATAATATTACACAACTTCAATTCTCCCATTAAAAATTTATCGAATCCCACAACCAAAGGTCACTAGTCATTTCCCATTAGCTTTTCGACGAGGGCTAGCCACGCCAGTAATTGGTGGTAATAACTATCCTGGTAGCAGTCATGTGATATTTTAGTAGTTTTTAATTTTAAGTTTTAAATTCCAATCCCAAAACCCTAAATCATAATCCCAACCCTTGCCGATCACCATCTGCATCTCAACCCTAAAACCTCACTGATCATGCCAAATCTCCTACTGACCTCACCCTCACCTTTCTTCATTGGCAAGCGAATTGTTTTGCCTAGGATGGTTAAATGTGAATGTGGAAATGGGAAACTGGAGAATACTGGTTTCAGCTGCAAGACTAATCTCGACGCAAACTCATCTATTCTCTTCAATAGGCGAGGAGAAACGAGAGGCTGAACAGAAGGAAAGGTAAAATTGTAACTGTCGACATGCATTTTCGTCCGACTTTACATTTATACGTTAATTCATGCCATATAATTAATGTATAATGTATTATATTATAATATATATATATATATATATATATATTATATCAATATATTATTACATATTCATTTTCTATTTTATTTTTCAGGTCCAACAAATGGCTGACTCATTACAACAGTGGCCCACACTAAAACCAACAGACAGCCCAAGACCCGCGAACCAGTCCACTGAAATTGGACCCAACCCGGAACAGTTAGGGTTTCCAGCACCCTAACTATCACCCTCCTCGCCACAAGCCACTAGAGCCAATCAAATCGAGGACTCTCCTCACTCCTCATGCCGAGACCACCATCCCCGATATTTCCGACAACGTGATTTCATGGAACAAGAACAACCAAGCAAAACAAGCATCTTAGTTTCAATAGGAAACTCTAAAAATAGGATTTTTAAGACTATAAATATGCACAAAAAAGAAAAAAGAAATACAAGAGAAATCATACGAAAACTCAGAAAAAATCACAAGAGCAATCGAAGTATTTTTTTGCAATATTTCGAAAGAACTAAAGGTAAAAGTTCTCACCTTTTCGGTTTTGTACATGCATGTAGCCTTGTTGATGTTATTTTCGTTGTTTGTTTACACAAAAACCCAAAAAAAGAGTGGTCAGTCGATGAACGGGGGAGGGTTTTGAGAACGTTTTTCTCAGAACTAGCCCTCTTCGAGGATTATTTTTGAAAATCACTCGGATTTTTGAAAAAAAAGGGAAAAATGCTTTCAAAAATAAAAAAAATTTATGTCGTTGATGAACAACGGCTGGTGAGGCGACGATGGCCGGTTTCTGGGTTCATCAAGAACCCAAGCGTCTGGGTTCATCAAACCTGAAGAACATATTGAGAGAAAAAAAAGGGAAGGGGGTGTTTGATCGTTTTGAAATAATGAGAAAAATGAAATGTGTTATGGGTTTTTGGTACTTATACCAAACCCGTTTTGCCCTTCGACCCGACCCATAGACCTTAAGGTCCGCGTGTT